GGGCATGTGGTGGTTTGAATAGGAACGGCCCTCATAGATTTGGATGCTTGGTCATTCGGAATGGCACTACTTGATAGGGATTAGGAGGTGTGGACTTGGAGCAAGTGTAGCCTTAGAGAATGAGTATCACTGGGGGATGAGATTTGGGGGTTCCAAATGCTCAAACCAGGCCCAATGTCTCTCTTTCTTGCTGCTGCCTGTGAATCCAGATGTAGAACTCTCAGCTACCTGTCAGGCTACCTCTCGAACACCATGACTGTCTCCATGCTACATTTGAGGTTTTGCAGTTAACTAAGATACAGGTATCCTTTGAAATATTCCTATTTATCACAAAAGCTGGAAAATATAATACATGCTCAAGTGAATAATTGCCTCCATCAAACTGGCTTGTGAGTATCTACAAAACATTTTCTTGATTAATGATTGATATAAGAAGGTCCACTCTACTGTGAGCAGTGCCACCCTTGAACAAACGGTCATGCCTTATAGAAGAAGCAAAGTGAGCACACCGTAGAAGACAAGTCTGTACATTATATGTTCCACCATGATCTCTGATTCAGCCTTTGCTTCCATAGAGTAAGAGCTGCACGACGAGATAAGTCGTTTCTTACTCAAGTTGGTTTTTGTCGGTGTTGTATCACTGTGAGAGAGAAGTAAACTAATACATCACTACTTATTTGATCTCATACATAGGCCTAGGTTGTTTGTAATTTAATAACTACTTAACCCAGTGACTCTTTTCAGTTACGATGAGAAGTAGAAAAGCTTTATACAGTTACAAATTAAAATACAAAGCATCCAGTATAGTTTACTCTTTTAGTTAGAATATTGTTTCCAGAGAATAAACAAAAATTTAAAGCATATTTTTGATATTTATAACTACTTTAAACTAGAAAATTATCAATGACATCAAATTTGTATGACATTAAATCAGTAGAATTATCACCTTCTTTGATGTTGTTTTATAGCCAGAAAGTATTTAGATAGGCTGGTATATTTTATCTACCTTTTAGGAAGAATTACCTTAGTTTTTAGGTTCTTTCTCTATGTGCTTTCTCTACTGTTCATTTGAAGATGATTACTCGGTGGTGGTTTCTTTTCCAGGGATAAGTTAAAATGATTCATTCTGTGTCTACACAGAGATATTTTCAACTAGATGTACAATTAACTTGCTCAAATGACTGACTATGTATCACTTAGGATTACATCATTTCAAAAAACTCATAATAATATGTAGTCCAAATACTGATTTAAAATGTCATAATTTGATATGTGGCCCAAACTATTCATTTTTCATATTTTGGTGACTTTCCAGGACCAAATAAGCTTGGATTTTAGAGTATGGAATAAATCTAATGGTAATTAATTTGGCTCAATGACACCAATCACTTGTTAGTATTTCATGGAAGACCAAAATCCATCAAATCGTTAGGAAAGCACAAAATTCTTTGCAACAGGTACATAAAATGCTTTTGCTTGCTCATCTGCTGGCCTTCATTAAAGCAAACCAGAAGACATACAAGTCGAAATAAAGGCAGAAAAGCCAAATTTGTGAAGAAAATATGGCATTTTATTAAACACAAGGAATGATGTTATTTTTCAGTTCAGCTTAAGTGAGTGAATGCAGATTCATGTCACCACAAAACATGTCCTGTTCCCCTCCCCTCAGAAAGATTATCAGGCCACATCCATATCAGACATTGTCAGAATGTGACATACATCTGTGTCAAGGGTTAACCTAAACCACGCTAGGGATACAACACCCTGTGTCCTAGTTTTAAAAGCCCCATAGCTCAATGAAATAAACATGGGCCATGTCCATGGCAGGGCATCTACCTAGAAACCAGCCTTTCTTCCTTTCCATGGGGATCTGTGTGCTTGTTGTTTGTTTGTCTGTTTGTTTGTTTTGGTAGCAGTAGTGTTTTAACTTAGGACTGGCACATGATAGCCAAGTACTCTACCACTAAATTACATCACTTCCCGTATACCTGGTTCTCCTGCCCCTTAAGCCGAGAGCAATTATTCCATTGCTTACACCAAATTATCCCAACAATAAATGTTAGAAATCACATAAGCTAATATAAATGCCAGCAGCTAGTTGAAGGCATTAGCCGTATTCTACTTCTGCCTTTGATTGCTATCAGTTTCCTTAATGACTCCTAGGCAGTGTGAGAGCTTTAAGACTTGCTTCTCTTCTGATTCAGTGCCTGCTGTGTCTGTCTTAAGAAGAGAGGAGTGCCGTTGTGTTGTTAGACTTTATGGTGAGCAAATTCAATATTCCTGATCAAAGTCAAGCCAAGTTTTAATATTAGGTCCACTTGGGTATAAAACTCTGGGTAGGAACTGAATGAGGAAGGCAGATTAACTGCCCTCAGGGGAGCACGGACATCCATCCCCAACCGCATACATCTTGTTGCTATTTCTTCTGTAGAGGCACAGCTGATAAGAATAAGCGATCTGTGTTCTGTCTGTCCCTGAACACTTTAATCATGGGAACACAGTATCTGAAGCACTGTGCTTTTGCTCTGTAATTGTTTGGGATGTTTTTCATTTTGACATGAAAGACGTATCTTAGAAGTAAAAGGGGAGGGGAGTGAAATCAGGAACACTCATAAGAAGCCGCTGGTTTTCATTTGCACACATTTTGCTTTTGAATGTGATGCTGAGACCTCTAGAAGGAGGAAAAGGTTTTTAAGGAAAAGAGCAAACCTTCTTTGATGTAAAGAGAGGCTGGTTAGGAGAGAGGGAGAGGGAGGAAGGGGGTGGTGAGATGGAGAACAAGAGCAAAGCAAGAAAGGCCTGCCCAAATCTAAGAGTCCCAGAACGAACAACTCTCATTAGAACCAACCTCTGAGCCCTGTGAAGACTCTGTGTGTGTGTGTGTGTGTGTGTGTGTGTGTACAGCAACACAACCCAGTTAGAAGGTATTCAATCTAACAGGACTTAGGAATTTTATATATAATTACGGTAACATCAAAAAAGTTTTTCAAAGCTAGCATAAAAAAATAACCAAAATCAGTATTCTTTATATTATCCAAAGTTAGTTTTTCTTTCATAAGAAACAATGCAAGGGCACAATAGACGCATTCTGCTAATTAAAAGGAACGATGCTCGTCATGGTGACAGCTACGTGAAACCTGTTTCTACATGGCTCCTCAAGTGAGCTCCAAGTTCTGTGTCAGGTGGTACAGTAACACCAAGATCTGCTGCTTTTTAAAGTCTACATTTGAGGTTTTGCAGTTAACTAAGATACAGGTATCCTTTGAAATATTCCTATTTATCACAAAAGCTGGAAAATATAATACATTTTTATGCTGATGTCTTAGTCATGTTTCTATTGCTGCAATCAACTCTCTCTCTCTCTCTCTCTCTCTCTCTCTCTCTCTCTCTCTCTCTCTCTCTCTCT